TCGAAAATATTTGTCCACAAGGACTTAGCATCGTCGACTCACGTCTTTCTTAGAGACGATTCTGTGCGTGCAGCCTTACAGCCTCCTTATATGATGTAGTGTACTTATTTACGTATTTATTTATTTATATATATTACACTACACAAACAACAAACTGAAATCTAGACACACTCTACCAAAACGACAATAAAAAGGTAAAAACGACTTATACTTTAAAAATGGAATACAGCCAGCAAACTCTACTGTACATACTATCACGTCTATGGTCAGATTAATAGCTAATTTTATTAACAAGGCGATTTGTCAACTAGTAACATTTTATCCAAATAACCTAAAAACGCAAAAAAACATTTCGTTAAAAAACATTATTCACACAATTACATGTCGGAACACTTTTGGGTAGTTTTAAAAATGTATAAGCAATAAAAAGCACTACACATCTATACTGTAACATGCATAAAATTGTATAAAAGTACATGCATAGTTTATTTTTTAGCCTAATTGCATGCATTTTTTATCTATGGTGCACAACTATATTTAGATATGGCAGCACAACCTTAAAAATTTTTGCCTTTTAATTAAAAAGGCATTAAACTGCCGATAAATATGTAATTCCTACATTTATTAATCAACAATATGTTATATGTTAGTTATACAGATACAACTGACTTATTTAAAACTGAAAAATGTAAATTCAATTGTTCTGTTGAAAATTTACTAAATTTAGGACTTTTTATCTTATTAAGTAGTTTTTAGCGCCAAACTAATACAGTTTGTAAAGTTTACAGCAGTGTTGCCAGCAATATCCATAAACAACAATATTACAAACGACCAACTACAATCGAATTAACAATTACATCATACAAAAATAAATGGCTTATTATCTAAAATTATGTATTTGTTAGCGAGTATACGATTGTGGAAGATGTTTTAGTTTAGTCAACAGAGCAAGCTTAGTGACATTAAGAAAAACATGCTTATAAAAATAAATACATTATAACCTTAAAACGAAAAGCTATGACAGATCTGAAAAAGAAAACAATAGACAACCATGCATAGTTTACAATTATTAAAAATGCACCGCAGTACTTATACCATAGACAATTGAGCCAAACAAGCACGCACACAAGGCTACACACATACACGTAATTGACACGATAGCACTTTACATTTACGTGAGACGGACAGTTAATTGCACACAATATAGAAAACATCTTGCAAAAGCAAAGCGTACATCGGACGAGACATTCTATGCAAAAAAACATTTTTGTTTTTAGACTTGTTCCAAAGAAAAAAATGAACATATCATTAAAAAAAAAAGAGTCTTATTAGTAGGATCAAAAGGACAGAGTAGATACAAAGATAGAAAGCGGAAAGGTAGTGAAGGTAGTGACATAGGAAGGCAATGAGCAGTAGGTCAGGTATGAACTTGTACGATTGCGTTTCATCCACATCCATACAAAAGATCGTTATCTCAATCAACGGCGAATCCAAGGGGAGGGGGGGGGCAAGACCTCCATGACCCCCCCAGAGCTGGTTGGTCAAAAGCTTGACGAAATATAATTACAAAATTTGACAAGCTCTTGATTTGACCACGACTATGTGACCACCCCACACCGGCGCTAAAGCTGGATCCGACCTTGATCTCAATGTCAAATGAAATGAGAGAGAGAGAGAGTGTGTGTGTGTGTGTGTGAGAGAGAGAGAGGGACACAATTTTTTTTGTTTGGTGTTTCTTTTAAAATGAATCGCACAAGTTCAAAGAAAAAAGGAAATAGGAATGAAGTAAGATTTTTCATATATCAACATACTTTTACTTAAGGCTTTCGTGATATGCAAACACGTTGTATACAAAAATAAAGTAATGTACACATCGATAACAACACTATATTAAACAATTCTGTCATTTCAAATTCATATTTACACTATATATTCTGGTATCGTCAAACAGATTTGCGGTGCTTCAGTTTTACTTAACAAAGACAATACATCCTGCTTTATAAAAATAAAATTACATCAGTAAAACGTTATTTTACAATAGTAGTTTTCGTTGCTTCAAATCGATAATGTTTATTTTTTAAAAAATAATCTAAATACAGCACCGCAAATGATGCCGACTGTACCAATTGCCAACTTGCGTCATTGCCTTAAGTGTTGAGAACATTATTAACAACATTAGTATAAATATTCACTACCATATTGTCCTCTGAACTATTTCAATAAAAGCAGTGTTCAACAAATAGCTCGTTTCGTCTCTAAACGCTTCAACAAGCATCCATTGTACTAATATCACTATTTTCTATACTATTAACGCATTCGCGCCAGTCTCTCAATGATCTTAGCTTATCGAATTATCAGAACCACACATTAAACAACAACTAAAATAAATAAGTGCATAAAATCACAGCATAAATCACAATGCCAACGGAAAAATCATTCATACGCGAGTATCTTAAATAATTTGAGATCTTTTTATATAAAAATATATCTAATATTGCAAAAAATACATAATTAATGTACACATTAATATCTAACAACATTAACAATGTATCGTATTTTAATGGACGCATTGAGGTTGCCATATGAAAAAAAAGCTGTTCAGTCAGGGCTCTTCGCAGTGTTGTACTTTCAGAAAAATTGTCTTGTTGCTTCTTAAGAGACAAACTCTCTCTTATATGACCAATTAGGTAGCGATGATTTTCGCAAACGACGGGATAATTTTAAAAAGCAATTAGTTGTGTACCACTGATTTCTTTAGTACTATCACATTTAAAAGCTGCGTCTTTTTGGTTTTTTCGTCGCGTTTTAGTGTGTACAAATCGTGTAGACGATTATAGCTTTTAAGATTCAACACCGCCAGATTCCCTGATTGTACTTACCAAGTAATTACATAAAAATGTCTAATACATTTTAAACTACCAGGAATGAGTAACCAACCTCAATACTTTACAAAATGAAATGCTTAATTTTCTAAAAGTATTTCTCTCATTGTTTTTAAGTAGTAATTCTTGTTTACCAAATTATTTCCTCAAAATGTTATAAAGATGTAGTTTAAATTCAGTATTGCCACCGAAATAAACAATTAAAGCTCAAATAAGCTGTTTTAAAATAAGATAAACTCTAAAAAATATTACTCGTAGTCTTTTTAACTTTAAAAGAAATTGACATATTTTATTACAGATTAAAAAAATATAATGGATTCATTCTGAGAAGCATAATTTGGTTAAAAATTGAACACGACGTCGTGTTTTCTTATATTAAAACCTTAAAGAATATTCTATCGCCCCAATGCTTATGTAAAAATAACTCTTACGTACCTTTTTTGATATGTCCTGCTTTACCCTTGGGCCACAAGTTTGTAAACTATCGAACCTTTGTTTTTTGCCTTTGAGCAATTTAAAAAAACAGAAGTGGCAAAAAATGTTCACTGCAAGCTAATTTTGTGTACACGACAAAATCACAGTACAATTTTTAAATATTATTTTTTGACAGGCGCTTGGAAACGATATATTCAACTGTTCATTCAAATTCAAATTCATCAATCTTGATGTTTTCTAATACGAAGTTTTAAATAAATTTGTCTCAAGTAAAGCCAACCCCATGTTTTACGATCATGACAAAAACCCTGAATCGGAAAGATAGAATATTCTAAGGTTATGTATAGACGAAAATCAGACACGCCTAGGTTTTCCCGGACCGGGGCATTCGGTGGACTTGATGATGGACGCGGCATAGCTTTCCCTTGGTCGAACAGGGTCGGTGTCCATGAAGCCGGGATTCAGTATAATATTAGGCACTAATTCTATAATGTCCTGTTCTTCTTCGTACTCTATGTTAATACGTACCGTCACCGTGTACGTGTGTTAGTGTGCCCGCAGTCCAAGCGTGCGTTCCAAGCGAGTGCGATAGAAGGAAAAGAAGAAAAAAAATTCGAATGAATAAAAATGAGCAAATATAGGTTATCTTCGGGAAGAGCATGCTGAGAGATAAAATGTCTAAATACTCGATTTTAATGTTTGTGTCATATGAATTATCATTATGTGGTTATTTTTCTATATAAAAAAATTGTTAATGTCCCCATGCGTTCTTAAACCACTGGAAAAATTGTGATGAATATTTGGTTGGATATTGTTAAGAAGATTATTATAGAAAATCTAATAAATGTGAATATAATACATGTTGTTTACTATTTAGTAGTAATTCTCAACTAAAATTTACTAAAAATTATTTAATTTTAGCTTTTTGACGCAACGGTAGATTTTTATATAAAAAAATGTGGTTAAAAGACATTGTTATTTAGGAAAATATTAATAAACTGTTAAATGAATTATATATTGATGAAATATATAAAAAAACTGGTGTTTATTTCAAATAATTAAAATAACGTGTTTAGTCCTCATGCTTTTTAAGCCAATAGTAAAAAAAATAAAAAAAATGTAATGTAAAATAATAAACCGCCTCTTTTGTACAACGATTTGATTTAATTTGCTTGGTAAGTATTTAAAAGATTCTTTTGAAATACAATTACTATTTTTAAGTGGTCCAAGAATCATAAGAATGTTCGCATTATTTTTTTACATGTACGTATGTTTGTATTAAAAAAAAATAAAACTATTAAAAAAGATAAGCAACATTGGCAAGAATATATCGTATACTACAAAGCGCTAAAGCTTATCCAAGTAGTTAAAATAACTCCTAGGCCTCGGAAATTCTAACCCTACATATGCATTTACTATATGTAAAGACTTGACCAAGCATAAAGCAATAAAACTAATTATTACTTCATTTTATTATCATAATTACAATAAAAATTATTAATTTACTTCGATCTAAATATTTGCTTTTCACATTTTTTTTTATTTTATTAGCACAATCTTAAACATAAAAACTTAAAGAATCTAGCTATGTGAGAAGTCATAAATATCATCAATACTTGGCCACAAATTCATCGAAAATAAAAAAAAATAAACACGATTTTTCAAAAACTAACCTGTCATTAAATATTGTCTTTTTTGTTGGGAATTAATTAAAAACAACATTTTCATAAAGATTACTTTTAAATCTATTTGCGATTTTCTATAGTTTATTGCTACTAGAAATATATAATTGATATTTTTTTTTAAAAAGCTTTGTCTTTCATATTGCCATCTCGATTCTACTCGTTTAATTGACAATTAGTAATTCCAATTGGTCCACATTAAAATCATATAAAAAAAATATTAGCATTTTTTTCAACAAAAAAAAACTTTTGTTCGATAAAGCTAAACGACTACGTTTCAAATTTCTAACCTCAAAGATATATTGAAATTAATATATTAAAACTAAATAATATCTATGGTTAAAAACTATAAAAAAAACCTTATTCCTATAAAAGAACTTTCACTATATTTAATAACATGTAATAAAGTTTGGAAACTTCTAGATATATTTTATTAACCGACTTTTTGTATTTTTGGTATGTGCTTTTAAATTTAAGAATATCACAAAAAATGTAGACCTACAACAGCTTAGCACCGTTTACACAACAGTTAAAGCATTTTGTACTTATTTTTCGAAAAATTTTGTTTTTTTTTTATAAAAATCTAAATTTTTTTATTTTTTTTATTTATGAAAATTATAATTACTTGGCACTATTTTATTGGTACTTTTCTTGTTTTTTTTTTCGATTTGGCATAATGAGTTAATATATCAGGAAAAATAATATACGTAGTAAATATTAGAGTGAAGTTAATTTTAATGAAATATTCAATAAGATCGTTTAACTTTGGTTTATTATATAAGATTTAGTATATATGTATTTGGTATTTTTAAAATATTGCTTTTAAAGAATAAGTTTGGGCACTTTCTTGGACCCTATTATTTAATAGACTTAGATGTAACTGTATAGTAAATATTACTTAGGAAAGGTGTTTTAAAACTGATAAGCAGTTGTAATCAAAATATTAAAAATGTGCGTTTTTAGGTAAGGCACATTATAAGGAAAAAAAATGCACTAGAAGAAAAAGTACAGTTAGAGACATTTGCGGTGGTCTTACAAAAAATCCCATGTTACTATCAGCGAGGCGAATTCCGCCAGTACTTACAAATTACCATTTAGATAGCAGTAATTTGCGCAGACAACGAAATAATAATAAAATCAGGCGTGTGGCATTTTTTTTTGTAGACACATGTAAAAGTTGCGCTGTATTGGTCGTCTCAATGCGTACAAAACGTTCAATTAACTATATGTATTTTAATACTAATATTCTGCGATAGAATTAGATTTTGTTTATTACTATTCTTCGATTACATTTTTAAGATTCTATTACTACTATTATTTTTCGATATTTGTTCGAAATAGTTTTATGGATTGTTCGTGTATTAATGTACCCAGTCTTGTGCGTTAAAAAAAGTTAAATTGTCTTATTAATATCTAATAAATCTTTAAATGGAAGCTAAATATTCGTTTTAAGCTATATTTTTATCACAAAAATTTCCTTCACCTTTTTTTTTATATCTAAGCAAACTACAAAAATTGTATAGTTTAGGCATAGTGGTCAGTTTTCTATAAAACTCTAGCATTAACTACTTTCGTAACATAGGCAATTCCATAAACAATTATTATAGATTAAAAAATTATTATTCAAAATACGCGTAAAGATTTTTTTAAAGAACTTATGTAATATTTTGCTATATTATTTAATAAGGCGCTCTTCTAGCGATAATTTGTCTACTTCGTAAGATTTAAAATGTACTTTAATGCTTAAATCTACTGTAAAAGTTTTATATCCTTAACCTATATTGCATTTTTCCACTAATGTCTTTTCTCTAGTAACACTAATCGAAATCTAAAAGTTTAAAAGCCAGTTTGAAGGAATATTAATGTTTTATATAAATTTTATATAAAAGCCAAGTTCATAAAGCTACAGCTATATTAGACATATTCCTAATGGTTTTGGTAATTGGGAACAAAAGTTCTTGTTTTACAAGACTTTAATGCTAAGCGAGATATAGAGAGCTTTTTTTATTATGTAAATTCGGGCAAGATTTAAAATTCCTATTACTAAAACTCTAAAGATTATTTCTAAGCGCCACTGTTATAATTAAAGTTAGACGGGATTTTCAAAGAATATCATACCATAAGAGTTTACAATTTTTTCATACTGTTAATACGAAAATCTCTGAGAGAGAAATTCACGTTTTTCTTTTGACTCCCAGTATTAGAGTACCAATTCTAATGCTAAATTGTTTCTGCTGACATTATCTTCAATTTAAATTTAACAAACGCCAGTACACCAAAATAATCTTGATACTTGCTAAACAATTCTTAGTTGCGATCAGACGACAGTTTCCATAAGACTGCGTGTGGTAGACAAAACGTGTCAATACAGTGGTATAATTACTACACTGCACAGGTAAGCTAGTCTAGTTTTGGATACTAGGTAGTGGGTATTCTAGGGGGTGTGCTCACCGGGGCGACGCCACTCGCGGCAGAGCACGGCGCAGGTGCCGGCGGCGAGCACCGCCAGCGTGCCCATCACCACGCACACGGCCGCCAGCCACGTGCGCGTGTCGAAACTCTCAGCACCTTCTAGGAAGTGCTTGTATAACTCTGGAATGTAGTATCGTTGGATTTGAATAAAGATTCTATGAATTTTAACGGTTATTTACTTTAGTTAATAAACTATAACAGTGTGAAACACCTGAATATATGCAATTGGAGAATCTGGCGTTGTTACATCTCAAAAGCAGTCTTTAGAACTTTTTACATGCAATGTGATGATAACGGGGAATAATAACCAATAGGACCTAATTGGTTATTTATATAAAGAGGCGGAGTTTGTCTCCTTGCTAAGAACAATGCAATTTTTCTAAAAATTGAACACTGCGAATTTCCGCGACTGTACAATTTAAAAATTTTATACTTTTTGCGACTGTAAAGTTATGAGAAGCTTCTTACTAAGAGTTTAAAGCACTAGTTCGGTTGTTACAATATAAATAATACATTTAACAGACCAGCTTCTTGGTCGCTATAGAGCGTGGTGGCGAGAACTTCGACCGGCGGACCAGGGCCGAGTGCGTTTGTCGCCCACACCCGGAACCAGTACGACGCGTTGGGCTCCAAGTGATACACGTCTACTTGCCGCTATAACACACACAACCGAATCCCATCATGAAATTCGAATACAAAATAAAGCGAACAAAAAACAGACTTAAAAAATTTTTCTCCTCCATTATTTTCATAGAATTACAGGCCTTAGTTGCTAAGTGTACGAGATTCCAATAATTTGGACAACAGCTAAACTGTACTCTACGTCGAGCAGTGCTTCTACAAGCACGGCCATAAATTCGGGAAAAGAGTACGTTAGATAAAGGGATGAAATAAAGCCGCAAGGGCTCTTTATTATATACCAGCTTTCGCCAGCAAATCTCTTCGCGTGGAATTAAAGAAACCAAAGTAAGTCGGCTACGTGTTCTTCCAGACTATCCTCTACACCTCTGCCAAATATCATCGTGATTCGTTCAGCGGTTTATGCTACAAACTCTTACATCCATTCATCCATTACTTTCGCATTTATACTAATAAGATGTAGGACTATTACTTACCGAGTTAGGACTAATATGATTTGGACTGATTGGTCTCCAGGGCTCTAGCGTGTTATTGACTGGCGCTGCAGAGCGGTACTGTGCGGTGAAGTCAATGATAGGGTGTCCACCGTCGCCTGCCACATTCCACAGGATCAGCGCGAGGATGGTGGACGCGTGCACTGTTACATTCACCAATGGAGGGGGCTCCGCTGCAAGAAGTTACATTTAATAACATTAGGAGTACTTGAAACGGACGCCCATTAATGTATAGGAAGACTAGGGTCTAATTTCATGGAAATCTGTTCTCTACGCTTTTGAATTACTTGTGTTATAGTTTTTATAACAGGATAAGGAATATTTCTTCGTAAAATACGTTTAATAACTAACTTCTCCTTGAGAACTAGGTAATTTAATAAAAAGCATTTAGTTGCAAAGTATGTCAATAGAGAACCCCGCCTAATATAAACAGTTGGGTCAACACGCTGGATACTCAGGGTGACTAGGTTTACCAATTCTTTGGAACGTGATGAAATGGTCTTAATAGCATAGCAGTGTTAATTTAATTACAAAGCAACATCAAGGGCCTGTCCCACCTAATTCTAAATTGTCTGATAACAATCCAACGTGTAAAATATCAGATTTTGTTTCCTTCTCTGACAGTGACGTCAATTTTAAGCTATCTGAGCCTCTATCAGCCAGTGGTGGGACAGGCCCTAAGTCATTAGTCTAGATCTTTCTTTGAATTAAACTTTTGACTATTTCATAATTTATTAAATAGATGTTTAATTTTTGTCCTTTTCCATCGTAACACATGGTTAACCTACATGAATTAACTTGTTTATGCTGAACGAATTTCTATTGATCCACGCTTATTGGCAATTTAAATCGAGGACATCGCCCCAGTGGGACGATATGATGAAAATGTGATTGCATATGAGGGTCACTCGACTGACCAAAAGATCTCAAAACACCAGGATCCGACACAAATTAATTAACGATCAGGTATCTCTTTATCAAAGGGTACACCGGTAGAGGTAGACCTAGAAAGAGATGGATGGATTGCGTGAAAGGTGACATGATCAAAAAGGGAGTGATGACTGAGATGACGTATGATAGAGTTATTTATGGGACAAAAACCTGTTGTGCTGACCCACGGGAGTAGGATAAAGAAGTGATAATGATGTATCTTTTAATCATTTGTTATTTAGCATTTGACACTTTGACAAATTTATCCCAACTTGTTGTACTTTATGTTACTCCTATTTTCAGTGAACCTCTATTCTGAGCTTTGCTCTATCGATCTGCCGGGTCTGAGTTGAAGTTCCCAGTATTTATTGAATTCAGACGAAAATTCGTGCTATATTTAAAACTCTTTATTACTACAGTATTTTATAAACTATCGTACGAAATACACAAAAAGTATTTTTGCATTAAAATTTTAGTATTCACTAGCTTTCGCCCGCGGGCAAAAAAAAATCAAAACGGAGAGCCTTTGTGTTCTTCCAAAATATCCTTTACGTCTATACCAAATTTCATCGAAATCCGTTCAGTCATTTAGGCTACAAACTCTAAAAGACATCCATACATCCATCTAAACTTTCGCATTTATAATATTAGTATGGAACATGATAGATGACGTAGATACATGATCAAACAGTGTTAGGTAACGCACTACAATGTCACCTTAACAGACTGTCATTATTGAAACAGGCGTAGTCATGGCGACCAGCGCACTAAGACCCCACTGCAGTGATTTAACAATATAAATGTTGTAGATTGTATACCCAGCTAGTGTCTAGTACAACTGGGTGATGGATAATGGGCGTCATTACCCGGCCTTTACGCCATGTGACCCGTCTTCTGCGACGGATGCTGCTACGGCCTTGATGACAATGTCTAGTTCATACATTTATGATAGCAAATACTAGCTTTTGCCAGTGACTCTGATTTTTTTAAATTTACAATTTTATAGTGGGGTTTTATTGCTAAAATATAAACATATTATTTTCCGAATTTTAAGTTATTAGTTCAAGTTTGGGTTATTTTTTATGGATACGAATCGTTTTAAGCTTAGGAAGCCTTTAAAGAGTCAATATTTTTAAGCGAATGTCGTGTTTGGATTACCATAAACCTGCAAAGTCGTAAATTCTTAAACGAGTCGATTTTAAAACGTGCCGCGTACCAAACAACGATGGTAACTGCGCTCGTTAACTACCATTAAGATAATGCTGAACACAATTAAGTTGTAAACCACTTAATTATGTAATCTAGTAATTTTATTGCAGATTTTTTAGTACTGATTATTGCTGTTTATCAATTAACTTAAATACAGTCTTGTGATTCGTAAAATATCCATAGTATGAATCGTTTAATTTATCAATACACTAGCTATTCCCGTGCGGCTTCTCCCGCATGAAATTATAAAAACTTTATTTTATTGTTTACATTTGTCAAATTCTTAATTGCAAATGTCAAAATACCAATTACCTTACTATGGTAATCTTGCTTCCTTGATGTTGGCAACAACTTACGGTCTCTTTCCCACATTGGGGTTTTTATCCAAAATATTTACTCCCCTAATTTCAATGGCTTGAAATTATATAGCCTAAAGCGTAATGTAAGTGTAGGGCTTTTTATTAAAAAGACAATTATTCAAAAATATGCTGTAATTGCTGACATTTTAGGCAACAAAGAAGTGTGTGTTTACGCTTCATTATATTAGTATAGAAGTATAGATTACTAACTTCTGACTGTGAGATTGACTCTGTCGACATACGCCGTTTCGTTCTCTACGCCGCATTCGTATAGGCCCTCGTCATCTACATCCACCTGCCTCAGGAGCAAACCGCCGTCCATCTGAAACAGACAGCCATCACTAATAACATAGTTGTACAGTCACCTACAAATATACATATGCGCTAGCTTTCGCCCGCGACACCCTCCGCGTGGAATTAGAAATATCAAAAGTAATTAGCCTACGGGTTCTTACAGACTATCCTCTATATCTATACCAAATTTTATCGAAATCCGTTTATCCGTTTAGGCTACAAACTCCAACAAACATCCATCCATCCGTCTAAACTTTCGCATTTATAATATTAGTATAATTTAAATCACCAGACTTGTACTTGTATACAAAGGTTTCAAAATTACGTGTGCATTGGTCATTAGGATGTTTACAAGTGTAACTTTTTAAGAGTATACACATTGTTGCAGCTAACTGTGCCCTTATGCCGGGAAAACAATTAGAATGACACTTTGTTTTTAAATTTAATCAAGTTGTCAAAGTACAGGGATCACAATGGAAAGTGTTGTAAGTCAAGAAATTACACTTTTGTCAAGCAAATTACATATTAACAAAAAGCACACAAATACAACATAATGTACATTATTTCAAAAGATTTGGTTAGTTCAGGCATAAAAAAACTAAATTTTACGGTTTATGATTATCTAAGAAACACGAGTAAAACATCTTAAAAAAAAACATTTTCCGACTTTTATATTAATTTTGAACAAGTGAATAAAATACGCTATTTGATTTGGTTCGATGCACATTTTATTATGCACACAAAAGATTGAAATGATAAGCCGGATATTTCCGTTTTAAATGAAGAATACATAAACGGGCGCACACCTTTGACTCTAACGCATAACTTTTGTGCGATTGTCGATTGTTTCGCAGTCAATTCAACTGTTTAATTGCACAACTCAAAATCGAGTAGTGTGTACCTCCATATAAGCTCACAGGAATCAAAGCTTATAGTTTAGAAAGAGGTGCGCGATCTCTAAGGTGCGATTTACTGCCAAAGTGACATGCAAGACTGTATGCCATCTAAAAGCAGAAAATTAAAGACGAAGATTTTTTTGTTTTTTCTGAATTCTTTAATAACTAAAATCTTCTTTTTTAAGGAAAGCTATATTTTAAATTAGGCATTAAAAGAGGTCCGTTAACATATTTTACTAAAGGACACAATATCCGTAGGTCTGAGTATTGCTGCAATTTTTGTAACAGCGCAGCGACCGAGCGAAATATTTTATTACGAACTATCGATCTTTGGCGTACTGCGAGTTCCTGATGCAGGTGTTGTTCCTGAGTTTCCACTGCTGAAACTCCTATACAAAATTATCCCTGTTTTTTTAATTTTCATTTAAAAATATCTGTCATTAAATAATCTTTTCTTATTCCTACATTTAGTAAGTACTACCTTTATCCAGTAACGTCGTCCGCGTGAAATTAAAAAGGGAGTAGCCTATGTGTTCTTCCAGACTATCCTTTACGACTGTGCCAAATTTCATCGATATCCGTTCAGCAGTTTAGGCTACAAATTCAAACAAACATCCATCTAAACTTTCGCATTTATAATATTAGTAAGATTGCTGTATAAGTGGAGAACACTGTCTATGCACAGATAGATTGTGTATTTTTTGTCTAGTTCATGTCAATCTATAGTGTATACTGTATAAAGTTAAGTTGGAACCACGTATCCGGCCTCGCGGTCCGGGCCTTGAGATACGATCGATATTAGTAAAGTCTCGTATTAGAAAAGTAAGCCACTGCTTGGCGCATCCGCTTACAGTTTGGTTTCATGTATTCAATTTCCAACTAAGGGGTTTCTTATATGCTAAATTTTTGCGTTATAACACACACAAGCACTATATGATGGTGCATACGTTTCAGATGTTTTTTAACCAAAGCTAAATATGATATAATAAAAATTGTAATCATACTAATCATACGAATATTATAAATGCGAATATTTAGTTGGAACGATGATTGGATTTGTAGAGTTGTTTGTTAGAATTTGTGGCTTAAACAGGTGAACGGATTCTGACGAAATTTGATATACATGTAGAGAATAGTTTGGAAGAACAAAAAGCTATTTCTAGTGTTTTTTTAATTCCCCGGAAAAAAGCTAGTACCATAATAATATCAGTGTATTTTGGATGTAATATGTCATAGGAATGCTGCCATTTGCGTAGACTAAAACGGATCTTTTGAAAAATTCCATTCAATCCGCAGGCTATGTGTGTAGTATTCTTCTTTTGAATTAAATACAAACAGTATCTCATAGTATATTCCAGTAAGCGCATTGTACTTCTGGTAAGAAAGTTTGTGGCGCATAAAACTTTATTGTGCTTTCACATAGCGTCCACAAAGTTGTATCGGCGCCGCGGTAATAATTCCATACTCACGGGAATAAAGTTTATTTAACTTGCATTTGTTTTACTATATTTTACCGCCTCTACGTTTATGCGTAAAAATTTAATAAGAACCTAATATAGATGAAGTTTCTATTGTAAATCAATTAAGGGTAGAATTAAAAAATATTGAAATACGTAATATACTCGATAAAAGTAAATAAGCAGATAGCGATTTTACAAATCTATTATATTTATTGGAGAAAACAAAATAACGACGATTTACTAGAAGAGATCAAATGGTATAGATAAGTCACAAGCCAAGGGCTAGGGAAATATCAAATAGAGTAGACGTTTCCCTTAAATAAGTTGTGTATATCGTTTTAAAATCGAAACAATTTATCTCAGCACATATATATTTGTACTAGCGCACTGCAGGCCTACATATCATCGTTATAGGCGACAATGAAAGTCTGAATCGCCTCGCCCGTAAACTATTTACAGCCGACGAGCGCCGTTAAATTAACCTTTACGCTACATCCATTCTGCAAACATAATCGAATAACGTAAAACGGGTTTTGCTAATGGTATTGCAAACGTGCTGAATTTCGTTAAAGGTAATTCAAAACTCAGAGCTGATGAGTTACATTTGAATCGAAATTTAAAGCATAATATTGTTTTAGATTTCAAATGTGTAAACAGTGGTAGAGCCCGCTTTAACATCATCGCACGAATGGGCCGGCTCACCCGGTGCAATACCAGGACCACACAGCAAACAAGCATGAAGTCGGAGCAATTCCACGTACAGTCTCATTAGTGTGATGCCGTCCAGTTTTAAAGCCTGCATACTTCCTTTATTCAAATGAAGGGCTGATAAACCTGTCATCTAAACACCAGTAGAGCTTAGCAATGTCCACGAATTAAAGGGTCATTGAAACTTGGCACGCGGCGACAGCGCTTGAAAAGTCAACGCGCAGGGAATGATGGACTTGTGTGGATGGGCCTATTGCAAGCGCCATTCATAGTTCATAAAAAAACAAGAACTTCTATATCGATAGAAACCTTAAATATATACTAAAAACCCTAATGCTTAGGATTAACGAAACCCTGGAATTATCTTTCATATATTCGAGGTTTCTAATGGCTTTGAGTTTCCTTAGTTTGTATCAAGATAATCAGTTAGATGAAAAAAAAATGCAAAGGTATTTCAGCAGTGAAAACGCACCGTGATTTGTACAGTTGAGTCACAATTCACAATACATTTGTCTGCGCGTTGCTCAAGGGGAGCGTTCCTTCCCCACAGTGCTCCCCGTGAATCATTGTCCGCACTGAGTACAGGACGATTGAATACCATTGCCTATTTACATAAAGTAATTGCTTTTTAAATCGATTTACTTCTACCTATATCTACAAATCATGTAAAATACGAAAGATTTTTATTAACTTTGTAGTCATTTGATAATGGATACTTTAAATATGATTACAACTACATTTAATAGACTATCTTAAAAAATTGTATTTTTTGAGTTACAACTATTTACGTAGGAGCCACCGTCTGTTGTATTTCAGTGATGTATGGAAGGCATTAGAATGAGCGATGGCCTATAGTCAGGTAGCATAACATTGGCGACGTGGTGTCTCAGTCCAGTGATTAATACCACTGCAGGCCAGCTCGCGTGCCGCATGCGACGCACTATACTGACGCGACTTAAATGAACGCTAGTGTACTTCTAAATGGATTTTATCGTCCCCAACCCGAGTTTATAACAGCTATTAAGTTTTATAAGTGATAGTGTTAGGGTTTGAGCGTTACATTCGGGAGCGAAATTTTTTTAGAACAAAAATATAATTTTGGCTTTGAATTTCGTCTTTTAACATTTTAAAATTAATATGGAGATTTCAACACTAATGATAATGCACGGATTGATTCCGAATAGATTTCAAAACATTGTGGTTTAATTTACTCAAAAACGTAATACACCTATTGTTAATACCGGGAACGCAATGGGGTGAGTGAAAATCAATCAAAACCAGGATAGGGCGGCGCCCCCGGTGTGATGACGCATCACATTAGTAACCAGACGTCTACGGCTGCTCCCCTACCCAGCCCCCCATATTACTCATTCTGCTTTACAATACAGGCACTGCACCTAAGGCAAGTGGAATTGCTGCGTCGATCAAAGTGTTAAGTGATTGTAATCTAAAATACATCTGATAATTCTAATCTAATAAAAATGCAGTGTCAGTTTGTAATATCAAACGAAAAATTACAGATTTCGGGAAGATGTATTTGCGTTGCTGAAAACAAAAATAGCATTTAAAATTTTTGTCAATATGTCCGCAAGCCACGTTTGTTCCTGATAATCTCCGAAACGGCTGGACCGATTGCGGCCGGACTTTCACTAAAGGGTGCTGACATAGACAGGCATATTATAGGCTACTTTTTTATCTTAATATTGCGTGGACAACGCGGGCAACAGCTAGTTATAAAGAAAATAAACAGTAACACAAAGTAAAACAAACATTTTATTTAATAAAACCTGTTGGCTATTCATTCAAAACAATTTATTATATTTACATGTGATTTTGAAGACTTATTAAAAGACAGCGTTAGTAGATTATGTGAAAAATGTCTGCAGTGTAGTGTTTACTATGCTTTCTCTATATATGTTTTGAATTTCTTTGAGTAAACCAGTGTAAAGGGAATTTACAGTCTT